AAGCCAGAAACATTCCTATATGCCGCATCGATTAAGTAGTATTGGCCTAATTGAAGAATTGAAGAAGTTATTTTAGTTACTAAATGCGCTAACTATCACTCGTTTAGTATTTAAAGCATGCCATTTATTGACTTAAAAAATTGTTACGATTAATTACCAGGTGGCGGCAGTGAAAAATCGGACGGATACGCTAATGCAGACTCCAAGACTCGCGCATCATGTGCACTACCCTCCCATCCAGCATACACATAGATGAAACGCATGTCATGATCACACACCGCCAAAACATTCTGTGATTGAAACCCGTGTCGATTTGTATATGCCATTTGCTCTCCTATCGGAGGACAAACTGAGATGTGGGTGCCATCCATCACTCTTACATCATCCTAATATTCATGGAGAACATATTTGTTAGTTTGTAATGCTAGAACAACAGTGATCCTTCTCTTAAAATCTTCCTTATATATTACCTTGAACCATGGATAAAAATTTGTTGAGTTTGCAATTCATAGATGAACTCCAATCTGATCACCCGATCATATTATTTCAGTTGCAAATAGACATAGGCCTCGGAGCACTTTCCTTATATTTTGATTAATCGTCTCAATGGATGGATTAAAAATAGACCCCAACACGCGGTGCGTATGCTTGTGGCTCACTAACATTAAAGTTATAGCTAGCGCCTCCTGTATGGGCACACATTGTTGATAGTTTTGTGGAATGTACTGGCGCTCCACAAGGATATCGAACAGTTGCATAAAATTATCAACTGTGATTTGCATATTATCTATTGATCGTCTATGATGACTGTTCAATAATCACTCCATCCATTGTCGACTACTTAATGAACCATCATGCTGCCGAATAGGTTGATTGTTGGTTATGTGTGCAAGAGACGGATGCATTAGCATTAATGAGGCACTCATAATTAGTAAGGCCTCATCCTGCCTTATGCGAACTGAATTGCATCCCCTAGCACCACGGCGGTTGTTCCATGCCATGACAATTGAGTATATATTTATATATATTGTTATATAAGTGTGTTCATGTGTGTATATCTAATTCCATAAACTTATATATATACGTGGATGTATATAATTGTTTCTATCTATAAAAGTAACACACAACATATAGATTGCATATTATATGGAAAGCTACTACTTACCCAATCCACGGGCACACGAAGTATTAGCAGATTGCTATGCCCGTTCATCGGAAAACTACTACTTACCCAATGCACGAGCACACTAAGTATGAGTAGGTATCTATGCCTGTTCGTCAGAGGTCTTCTGTCTCTAAAACTCGTTCTTTCTTTTGTATCGCGAGCAATTGGGGTGAAATGCATATTCTAAAACCATATATTTATAGCCTTTGTGGCTGACGAACCAGTTATCAGATAAAATTTTGAAAAATCGAATAGTAGGTCTACATAGCAGAAGAACACATGCATTGCCGCATTTTAAGATACTTGTATGAAGTATAGACGATAGACTTAAAGCAGACATGACAAGGCCCTGAAGAAAGCCTGGGAAACATAACAAAACTCTGACAAAACCCATCAGAAAGCACATGCATTTCCTGTAATGAAAAATTCGTAAGAAAAGTAAAACTAACTAAGATACAAATTCCTATAAATAAAAAAAATCATCTTATAGTCAGTCCTGACAAATCCCACTCCACCAAAGTGGGGTAGGAAAATACACACCAACAAACTAATTAAAATGATTGCTGACCTCTATGTTACATGCATCAAAATCGGGCATGCTACATACTGGTGAAGTTGTGCCAAAACACAACTTCAGGTCAGCAACAAATAAAAAAAAAGGTAAAAAACAAAAAAATCCCCTATACTAAACCTAATATACAAATAAGCCCTCTATGATTTCAAACTATACAACGCGACACCTCATACTTTGAACTAAATTATAACCTTGATGGGAATCGGTAAAATTAACGAGAACTGATGAAAGGACCAAAATGCCCTTATATAATAACCAAAAGGCAATTGAACAGAATCATTGGTCTGGACTCAAACCCTACGAAGAGAGAGGGAGAGAGAGAGCAACCAAAGCCTAGCCAATCTGAATCAAGTAAGAAGAGCGAAGGGGACAAAGATTTCTTCCTTAAAATCGAAAGCAAGTGGGTATGTATGTTATACTTCGTTCATGTTATAATTAGTTAAAATTAGTTCATGTATGTTATAATTAGTTACGGTTTAGGGTTGTCCATCTCAGATTTTTACTAAATTGATTTCAATACTTAGGGTTGATGATGTTATTTACTTTAATAATATGCAATATTTGGGTGTTGACCTTAGACAAATCTTGATTTTGTAAGTTTTGGAATTGGTACTTTGGATTTAAAGTCGAGATTTTTGCTGATTTGGGACTGCAACTTCGAATTTAAAACTGAGATTTTTGTTGATATTTGGGTGTTGACTAGGAGTCATGCAAATAATTTCTATTTGGGTGTTGAGTAGGAGTCATGCAAATAATTTCTGAAATGTCCATTTCCGATAGAATCTGTTTGTGTGTTTGAGTACGACTCAATTACTTGTTACAACTAGATATTTAACAAAGACTTGTGAGTAAAACTATAAATTTCTATACCTGTCAGTCTTATCTGGTTTAGTGGTCTAAAATGCTATTAAAATTGGCTGTGTTTGTGGTTTTCTATTTATTTGATTTTATGTATATCAATGATGGAGACATAATAGTCGGAAGACTAAAGCATATTTATTATATTCCTTGAAATATTCAACAGAAGAAGACAAGTCAAAGAAAAAAGTAGACATACATATGCATTGTGATGAAAAATTTAGAGAATATCCTGCCCTCCATTACACAGGAACCCGTATGGCTATCTTTAAAAATAGACTTGAAGACCAGATCTCCATAGTTAGCCTTTGTAGGATATTTAAAAAAGTGGATGAGAATGCAACTAGAGTGACTTTCTATTTTTGTGCTCCACAAGTAGACTTAGATAATGGCCTACATCCAATTGGGGACAATGGGATGTTAAATTGATGAATAAAGCACATTGGGGTTTGGCAACAAGGATAATATATGCCTGCAGTGGGGATGATCCTTTTGAAAAACCACTAGAACATGGTAAGGACAATGTGTTGGAGCCAAATTCGACAATGGATGCATCAACATCAAATAAATGTGCAAATGGGGTACATAACACCAAAATAGACAGCGACGATGATGGGGTACATAACATAAAGAGTTTAGAAAAAAAGAAGAAGATGGGGTTAGTAATTACTATCCAAAGAAAACAAATTATACTGATGATGATGAGCCTGAATGGCTGAAGGAGGGGTTGGAAACAAAAGAGTATGAGAACATTTTCGCAACTAAAAAAGATGTGGACAGAAGTAGTAAACCAGAAGGTGGGTCCATATTACATTCCACCCATTTTAAGCCTTATCATATGTTCTGTTTTCCTGCAAAGATGGATTTCAAAAGCCTTACCAAAAGTGAAACTAATAAGGAAAAAAAGTCCAACAAAAGTAAGAAGCAGTCTGTAGGGCCAAACAACAATAGAGAAATTGCACCTCATATCTCATTTCAGATTTCATCTGAGGCTCCATCTCAAGCTGCTGACCAACACCCATCTCAGATCCCATCACAAGCTGAAGCAGCGAACAATAAAAATGCTGAGGAAAAATCAATAAAAGAAGGAGCACCACATACACCAGAAGAGGATTGGCAGGAACCAGTAGTTTCTGATGAAGAGTTGCTGGACAAGTGCGGATTTGATTATGAAGGCCATGAAGACTGCCTTGACTTTAACCCTGAAGTGGAGTTTCTAAAGCCACATTTTGAATTGAAAGTTGGGCAAAAGCTTTTCAATTTCAAAGTTTTTAGATATGTGTTGGTCAAATGGTTGGTAAGAGAGGGATATGAGGTTGAATGGGTAAAAAATTACTCAAAAAAGATTATTGCCAAGTGTGCATAGGGCTATTCTTAGAGGATTCGTACAACGCCAATCCAAGGTGAAGCTATTTTTCAAATTAAATCATTGAAGGATCAGCATGTTTGTGCTAGAGATTACAACAATAAGTATGCAACAGCCAAGTATTTGAGCGTGAAGTACCAAGACAAGATAAGAGGTGACCCGAAGTGTGCCGTGAATGGATTTCAGAATGATATTAGAAGAGATTTAATGATTAACGTGTCCGTTGCCAAGATACGCAGAGCAAAGAGAAAGGCAAAAGATGATATGCTTGGCACAGATATGGAGCAATATCACCAACTTTGGAGTTATGCAGTTACAATCCGAGAGACAAATCCTAGTAGCACTGTCAAGATTAAGGTTGATACAGCAGAATAGGGTTCACAGGAGACATTTGAAAGACTGTATTACTGCCTTCATGCTTGCAAACAGGGGTTCCTCGATGGCCATAGACCAATAATTGATCTTGATGGGTGTTTTTTAAAATCTGCATTTGGTGGTCAGTTGTTGTCAGTAATTGGTAGAGATGGCAATGATAATATGGTTCCAATAGCAGTAGCAGTGGTAGAGGTAGAGAGGTATGACTCATGGAAGTGGTTCCTGGAACTATTAATGGCTGATCTGGGACTTGGTGTGAAAAACATACCCTGAACATTCATCTCAGATCGACAAAAAGGACTAGTCCATGCAGTGAACGAGTTATTTCCAAATTCTGAACACAGGTTTTGCTTGAGACATATGTACCAAAATTTCAAGGAAAAGTTCAAAGGAAAAGAGTTGAAAGACTTGTTCTGGACAGCTGCAAGTGCTGGGAATGAAATAGACTGAAAATTAGCAGTGAATTCCCTTGAAAAGTTTCAAAGGATGCAGCTGAATGGCTGCAAAAAATGTCAAGTGTTTTACGGAGTAGGTCACATTTTAGACAAATTAACAAATGTGATATTCTTGTCAACAACCTTTGTGAGTCATTCAATAACTATATTTTAGAAGCCAGAGAGCTACATATCATAGGGATACTTGAGTGGATCCAAAGAAGGCTCATGCAAAGGATTCAACTGAAGAGGTCTGGTATGCAAAAATTTCAAGAAAAAATCTGTCCTAACATTGCAGAGAAGATTGACAAGAATCTGAAACTTAGTAGGCTGTGTATTCCCACATGGGATGACAAGAACAAATATGAAATTGACTGTGAGCCTAGAAAATCTGTTGTGGTGGATTTGAACCAAAAGACTTGCACATATGGTTATTTCCAGCTTACAGGTTATCCTTGTACTCATGCATGTGCTGCAATAGGAGCACGTAGATTGCCTTTGCTTGATTATGTGCATACATGCTATAATAGAGAAAATTACTTGAGAACATATGAGCACACTGTCACACCTGTCTCAAGTGATAAGTACTGGGTGAGATGTGAAGAACAACTCCCAAATCCTCTTGCAGTTCGAAAATTGCCTGGCAGACTCAAAAAAAGGGCAGCCGATGAACCTAAAAAGGGTTAAGTCTCAACCAGGACGGGTCTTGTGGTACATTGCAAGAGATGTTTTCAGCCAAGACATAATTCAAGGACCTGCAAGAATGCCATTCATCCCAATTCTAAATTCTACATGGTAACATAAACTAGATTTTCCATCTTATTTGCTATCCCAAATCATATTAATTGAACATTAATATGAACTTGTTTTTCATAGGTACCTGACACTAATGTAGCTAAATCAAGTTCAGCAATTCATTCATTAGCTCCTTCACCAATGGTGCCCCCACAACCAGTAGTCCCAAATCAAGAACAAACTTCACCTGTTCAAAAAACAAGCTGCAGGCCTGGGAAGCAGTATACGTAGCCAACAATTGTGAGTGTGACAAAAAATGTACCTGCTAGACAATCATGTTCTCAGGTTGGATTAGATGAACTGCAAATGTGATTTAATGAAGCATCTTTCATTCGGACATTCATATTTTCCTCTCCTGTGAATGGCACAACTTCACTAGCAAAAGGACCCCTTCATCCTACTGTTGCTGATGTCTATACAACCTAAGGTCCAAGAAAGCAAGAAGATGTGGACAGAAGTAGTTCAGTTAACATAGCAACTTTAGAGTTGATTTTAGAATGAACTGTATGTTTGTTGATTGCCTTTTGTATAGTTTTAAGGCATTAGTAGTTGCTATTAGAGTTGGTGGCAAACATTTAGACAGTTTTTGAGGGAGTTTTTGTTTGGTGGGATACTTTTGTCTACTTTATTTGGAATTATTATCAACTATTGAAAATTTTAATGTACTTTGGTGGGATGCTTTTGTCTACTTTATTTGGAATTCTTGTCAAGTGTTGGAAACTGTAATGTACTTATTGATTGTTTTAATGGAGAATTCTGATTAAGAGCTACAAGTGTATTTCTCAATTGCAAAAGACGTTATTACGTGTACTTATTGATCAAAACTGTTTTCAATGCATAAATATGATTAAGGGCTGTAAGGTATATAATAGTTGTTTGTTTCTTTTTGGTAGGACATTTTTCGAAAAATCAAAAGAATAAAGTGCACATTTTCATGAACAAAACAAACTACCAAATTTCTTCATTTTCATTCATAACAAAATCATTGTCTTATTTTATAAAAATTATCATCAACAAAAGCAAAAGTGAAAAAATAGATACCATTAGACAATTGCTAACTAGTACTTTCAAGTTCTTCACTTCATCATTCAAGTTCTTCACTTCAGAATTCGAGTTCAAGCACGGGAAATGTTCTTCAACCGTTGGCCTCCCAAAAAAGCTTTCTCTGTTGGTTTCATCTCTATAGATGGGATTACACCATGAGAAAAATCTACATCCATCCCTTTCACACACAAAGTACAGCATCCCTTTGGATGGCTTTTCGGACTCAACAATATTCACCTTCGCCTTTCTTCGACAGTCACAAATCTTATATTGGTACCATAGATCCCTAACTCCACTACACCCTCGAGAGCTTGAGAAAGACATGAACAAATTTTTTAGCCAGTCATTTCCCTTCATCAGTAAATAAATCTCAATTTAGTTATCAATATTCTTACTTTAAACCCTAATAACAACAATTTATTAGCCAAAACCCAAAATCAAAACTTTTTACCTTAGCCAATATTGTGTAGTAGCTGCTTGGTGGTTGACTTCATCTCTGGAGAAGTTTTACCTTCCTCTTCGATTGGGTGGTAATTTGATTTCTCCAAAAGGCTAGTTCAATTTCTCTCAATCAAGTAGAAAATCGATTTCTCTACACAAGTATCACTAGGAGTTTTATTGGGGGCTAAGGGGTACAATAGAAATATTTGCTAAAAATTAAGTATAAAGAATTTGTTTTTAGCTTCCAGTACATTAGTCCCGTTAATTTTACCAATTTTCGTCAGGATTACAATTTAGTTCAAAATATGAGGTATCGCATTGTATATTTTAAAATCATAGGGGGCTTATTTGTATATTAGGTTTAGCACAGGGGTTTTTTTTATTTTTTACCCTAAAAAAAATGTCACAGCAACAAATATAATTTCAAATATTAAATTTTCAATAGCTACAACTCAAGCCAAGCCCTTCTCCCACATCAATTTAAAGATATAGTCGTATCGGTCTGAATTAGAACTTCTAAGGAACACAACTCATTTCTCCTCTCTATCACTGTTGGCATAATTGTAGTTAGCATGTATTCTCCAATCGTCGGGAATCTTTATTGTGTTGATCACGTTCTGACATTGGATTACACTATATAGGGACTCAAACTCCATCCTACTCCGTCTGTCCTCCAGTGCAAGTTCGGAATAGTTTCCAATTTTACTAATAGCATCCTCAAGACCAGTAGATGACCTTGTTGATTTTGACCCTCTAGTCCCCTCCAGCTCACCGCTTGTCCCTAGACTTGAGACTGGCCGTTTTCCTCCCACAGCCCCTGGGACTGGACGAATATAGTAGATATCATCTTCATCCCCTTGTTCGCCCATGTCCTCAGGATGATCGTTCCTCGAGCTAGAAGCTTTACCTTTTCCCTTCCGACTTCTAGCAGAAGTGTTGGCCTTTTGACGACGAGGCGGTTTCGGTGGAACTATCTCGCTTGCAGATTGGGCACGACTCTCTGTGGTGTGTTTTTCAAACAATATTGGGGTCAGCCGATCATACTAGTAGCATGAGTTCTCTTTTTCGAATTCAGCATATGAGGAATTGGTTTAATGAAAAGCAAAATAGCAGTCAGCACCAAGAAATTTTGCCCAAACTACTATATAACTACTTGCCAAACTAACAGGATAGTTAATGTATCAGATAAGTATAAATCTGAAGCAAACTAGTAACAATAGAGCAAGAGACAGCACAAAGGGAAAGCCAGCCTCATCCCCTGCTAAATAGCAGGTATGAACTACCCGGGAATCTCCATATACTATTTGCACATTAAAGCTATTATATCCAACGAACAAGCAATTGAAGGGTCCCGAGACCGTCTACTAAATTTGGTATTAAATAGTATTCAACAACACAAATAGCAATAGCTGAACTAAATGTCTAGTTCCATCAAATTTTTTAATGTAAGAATCAGCTGACAAGTTAAAAAAGCTGCAAAATCTACCAAGTTTTACAAGAATCAATCATATTAATACACATAAAAAGAAAGGTAAACAGCAAAGCTTTTTCCCGTATGGTCATTATACACATGAACTTAAATGTCCTCCTAGCACAATTTCCTTTGTTTGAATATTTTCCTAATTGAAGATAGGATATATACAGAGATGTTGAAGCAGCAGTGACCAAAACACATAGCATATATTACCATACTAATACATCTCCTATAGTAATGCACTACCCTTATGGCCAAAGTGTGACACTGAGTTTGAAGCAGGTCTGAATATCTATTTTTGGTCAACACCAAATGTTGAGCATGTGATTCCCTAACTCATTTGTCAACAGTTTGCTCAAATGAACAAGTATTCATTTCAAGAGCATTCTAAGTAAGTAAATTCACAAAATTAAAGGCAGTTATAAGTGCATAACTGCACCAAGCTTTCCCAATGTTCGTCATCAGCAGTGAAGCAGTAGCTATCCGTAACCCACCCAATCCTGGTCTCTGATTTTGAGGATATCCCACACAGATTATAGGACAAGTCCTATTTTTTCTTGATGTGATAGAATCTGGTCTGTAATTGCTGCCCAGTGATAGTCATGATGCCATTACTGACCAAATGGCCTGCCAACATATCATAGTTCATCTCAAGCGACTTCTTATTGTCCCACCAGTTATTTTCCCTAAAGCTAACATAGGCTATCATAAAAGCTTCGTCAATTGCATTGGTCCATTGAATCCTAGAAGCCATTTGCTGAAATATGTGGAAAGAAAAAAATGTATGAGCAGGCTGGATATTAGAAAATAGTTTGAAGTGCTTTGGAAAATAGAAATCGATAAATAATAGTACGAGAACAAAGGTGTTGGATGAAGTACGAATTTACTTGGTCAACGTAGGTGGAAAGGCAATTGATGTAATTGTTGAAGGCAGTTGAAGAACGGGAGGAGCAATCGAAAGTACAGCTAACAGGTGAAGCTACAAAATTCCAACATCAACTAGTAAAACTCATGTAATTGGCAGGGAAAATGAGTACAAAATACTTATAGACAATGGAAGAGGGACATACAATCGCAAGAAGGCTTCTTCCTCTTGTCAGAGGTCATAACCGAAGATCTAACAGCGTCAGCACCAAGTAATGGCAGCAGCTAGACATGTATATTATTATTCATCAGTTCTAAAGCTTACCAAGTGCATGAAAGAAATGCTTGGCTGACAAGTAAATACAATAGCAAGTAGATGAACTGTAATTGAGGACGATGAATCTCACTGACTTAATTTTTTGTTAGGTTTGTCCCCCCTTATAGATAAAACAATTAAGAATAGTACCAAAAGGCACTTAAAACTTGGAGTACTAAAGATTAATTTTTTTGCATTTTTTTGTTGTGGATGCATTTTTTTGTTGTGGATAAGGATATTGTGAAAGGACTGACAAACCAAGAGAGTAATTTTGAAAGTTAAATGGTAATGGTGGGTAATACACGAGCTATTTTTGCCTTGACTTATTAATTTGGTATTACAAAAGAAATTCAATTCTCTTTAGTGGATACATTTGTGTGCATTGTGTATAGTATGAGCCTTCATATACGCAGAATTAGTGTAGCATAACTCAAAATCAATATATTTATGTTGTTTTCACATTAATACTAAGTAGAAAATCGCCTCCATAAACAACAGATGCTGACTCAGCTATTGACAACTACAATTGCTTTAGGCTTTTTGGCAACCTTCTGGAGATTTGCTTTAGAATGATTTATAGCTTTGACAAATTTTGTTTTCCAAGGCTAAGACATGGACTTAAATTCGTAAAGGCTTTTTCCTCAAGCAATAGCTTGTTGAAACTTTAACAATTAGCAACCTCTTCAAGATTTGAAATTGCTGAAGTACAAATGAAAGCGTTGAAGCTATTTTCCTATCCCAGTTCTATCAACC